TGAAAATACGTTTATTGCATTTTATTTTATTCATTCCTTGATACAAGTTCGATTGATTGTATTTAAAGATGACGCTTTTTGCTACGAATGAATTCATAACTTTATCATAATTATAATTGTCGCTTCATTAATCATCGTTACACGTAAATATATTTTCGAAACTGTCATTAAAGGCTAAGATGCGTGTTGTATGCGTGAAATAGCTGGATCTTCTTAAAAACTTGATGTACCGAGTTTTCCTTCGCGCTGATGAGTAACGATGAAGGTGGCCCAGAAAATGTTGGCCGGACGATAGAGATCGGATAGCGGGCGGGGAAGTTTAGGTTGGCTCACGGTGTTGGAGTGCATTTGGCCATCAAATAACATCGGCAGCGCCTATAACCGGCTTACGTCCCGACATAAAGTCGGCTTGGGCTTCTCTTACTTACACGGGTCTTTCCTCGCCATCTCGAACCACTAACTCGTGATCAGACCACCCCAGCCCACTACGAACCGTATCAGGAGTTGCGGTTCTTGGAGGGCTTAAGCTCGCGATATCAGTTGATTGGGTCTAGAAAGTATCGCCCTGGAAGAGGATTCGTTTTCTACCGTTACCACGATTGCCACGGTCCGTTTCGCGTGGAAAGTGTCCGCGCGTGAGATTGCTTTTTAAAGAACCGGTAACGAGAAATTACCAACAAATAGATGAACACGAGTTATAACTCCTGGTGCGTGCAAGAGGAATTCATACACAGAGAGTGTAACAGTACAATTAATAAAGAGTTCAATGACGATACAATTTTGTACTCATTGAATGGCAATGAATGTAGCTAATATCTCTAACGGATGGATGGTCTTTAGAAGCTCTCTTGTATTAGTCCCTTCTCTCACAAAGATATCTCCCATTAACAAAAATGCTATTGACCAGAAGCTGCCCGTTGCGGTTAATCCACCAGTTCGGGACACCTGCTCCTATCACTCCATTCGTTGCCATTTTGGCTTTCCCAGATGTTTCCAATTAAACTTTTCTCAGTGTTCGACCAACGATACTTTTTCGGATTAGCCAAGGTACGTTTCAGTTCGAGGCTATAGCATGTGGTCGGTGGTCAAACTCGGCGCGTATCCGAGGAAGGGACCAATAATTTGCCAATATCGAGATCACTGGCGTACCGAACGCAATATAAACGTTTATGACTCGCATTGGAGCCCCTCTCCACGATGTACTCTATTCAATCCACTACTTTTCCGGCAGTGACGCTCAATTTACATAGAACATCACTATTTTACTTACATTCAAATTTACAGATTGAGATGATAGTAATTCCAATAAAGCTAATCCTAATTTTTTACATCATTATATTACCTTATTAACTTATTATTGCTGAATGGAATTTGTCAAAACACATCTAACATCAATTCTCTGTTTAGATATCGTTTAATTAAATCATTTCATTCGATCTTTGAGGTAGATAAAATAAGTTGTATTCGTCTATTTCTTAACATCTGCTTATATTCTTATATGTATTGTTTTTGATAATTATTAAAGATTTTTTCTCATAACGTCACACTTATTCGAACTTACATATTACGAGTACATATTCTTATTTTCCTTAAAACTTGTTGTCCGTGGAAATGAGAGTTGCTGACCGATAAACGTGTTCGGAGGACAGGCAAGGAAAGAAGGGTGAACATCGGTAGCCAATGGTGGCTGCAATACAAACCGTCTTTGACTCGTCTCTTCGACATCCCCTGTAGCTGTCGTCAATGATACGTATAGATATACCACATACGTGGCTTCCTCTCTGTTGCCCTTTCGCGATATCACTGTGTGAGGGCGAGTGCTCGTGCCTGGGTCACTTAATGTTTCTCTATCTATAGTGGTCAGGGCGAGACAGTCTGGTATATTGTTATATACGACATTGTGAAGGGCTGCGGAGTTAGGGAAGAAGGAAGAGTGGAGCCACGAGAGATATCGCCCGCCACCAATTACCAGGACCGACCAAGAGTTATTGAAAAGATCTCCCCATAGGAGGCATCCCGTGGAACCGCGATTTTGGAACGGCTAATGAACACTGATTATAGTTTAATAAACGTTTGTGGATGATTTATGGACACTATTATATCAGGAATTGGGAAATCAGCTTTTAGCTTTAGCTATTATCAGCATTATAATCAGCTTAAATTTATTGTAAAATTATAATCAATGTAAGAATGAGAATGTTAATTGTAATTTTTTCACATCTTTACAACTTTGGTTTTGAATAAAAAAATTGTTTTTCAGTGGAATAGAAACCTTAGCAAAAGATTCGCGAGTAGTTCACATTGAGAAAAATCCTGCTGTGATGTAAACTTTGTGCCGTTGCATCGCAACGAATTTGGGGATAAATTTCCAGTAAATTCGTCGCGCAGTAACTTCACAATAACGGTCGAATCAGTAGCAAAGTCCGACGAATACATATCACGGCGCTGCACGTCGCACCGCGTCGCGTCGGTTCGATAAGCTTACGGCTACGGAGCGCGCATTAATTATTCCCTTTAGATTGCGCCTGGCGCGATCCGTAAAATTTCCACCCCAATGCGAAGCGTCGCCATCAATTTCACCGCCTCTGCCCGCGCAATAAGGTGTTTTCTCTTGCCGAGGTACCTCCGAAAGGACTCCTCCTCGTCTCATCGAACGGTAATAGCTGCTTTTACGATCATCATATTTATAAATGTAAGCCCGGATGTGGATCCCCCTCGCTCGACCCCGATGAAAGCAGCCCGTTAATTGGGAATACTGATGGTACCATGGAGCGAGCTCTGGATTTGGATCGATGCCGTTCGGATGTCGTCCTCCCCCTTTTCGTCTATTCCCGTTGCCAAGGTCTCATCTCTCCTGGTCCTCCCACGCAAGATCATGGCACCGGATAAGACCCGTGGGACGCTGTCAAAGAGAGCTTATATTTATGAGACTTTCGGCAAACAAATGGATAAATCTAATATCTCGAAAGCGGAACGCTGGAGCTCCTTAAAGACGTCTCCCGTTTTCGCGCGGATTGCTCCTTGGACTTGCTACACTTTCATAAACGCAGATACAGAATACAAACTCTCGACCAAATATTCGCGACAACTCACAGTTATATAGAATTATGGGTAATCGTAAATTTCGAATTAACATCCGCCTTCGTATTCGTTTTAAAAACCGATTCTTTATCGTTCACTCTTGGTGTATCGTGGAGAGCAGTTGAAGAAAAATCGGAGAATGATGTTCGGAAGAGGGAGGTTCTTCGAATCACGGACACAGACTGCCGTTTCGTTCTTCAGTGCCATTAAAGACGCTATAAAAGAAGTGGGCTGGCGGTGGTCCCGTTGGCGTGAGTGCTGGGCGAAATTTGTCAGTATTAAATAAATAACCCATAAAGGTGGAACATCAATCCGCCACAGGAACATTAACGCCCGATATAAGGGGACGAGGCGACGGCTCTTATTTTTCATATACCGATGTCTTACTACCGCCGTGCACGAGTGTGTTGCCGTTCTGTACCGTAGGTAAAGAACTGTGGTTTCTTTTCCCCCTGCCGATACTTTCTTCGTGTTCTTTGATGTTTTTACGAGCCATACAATCGTATCGTAAGTCACGTCGCAGATAAAAATTGATGTATCTATTACGGGCGAAAATGGTCGGAGATCTTTTAAGTTTCTTTTAGACGAAATAATCGATACTTTTGTTTTCTTCTCTTGCTCAGTTTCTTAAGCACTGCTTTTCTTGTTTCTTAATCTCCATAAAAGATCGTTTTCTCTCGGAATAAGCTAAATATCGAAAAGTTTGCTACTTGGAATTCAACTTGTTGCTCGGTCCTGAGGAAATTCTGAATAGTCCGGTTTCTTTATCTAGGAGAATAGCCCCATCCCCGTTACTCATATTAGCTGCGGTAAAAGTAAGAAAGGCAGATCGTCGTTGAAAGTTCGAACGATCAAACAAGGACCACCAATAACAGCGTATCTTACGAGAGAGCCGGAGTAGAGCGCGTGCGATGAGGCAACGTGTATACCGAAAGCAGCGGCGAAAGCGTTTTGGTGCGTGCGTGGCGGCGGCGTCGATACAAAGAGTCGATTGTGGGTTTGAAAGACACCGCCGATCCTGCAATTCGCGATCCCTTCGAGAATGTCTACGGTGTACAGTGGTCGACTTGTGCTAGCGACACGATTCCGAAACCGAGATTACGCCGGATTTCGTGGATCGCGCGCGACCCATCTACCGACACCACGACCGGCTCGGCTATTAGCTTCTTCTTTGATTGGCTGCGTTTAATGGACCGAACGACATGCATATAAATTGCCGCTTACCTCCAACTTTGAGGATATTTCCAGGCACAAACTGTTCATGGGTGCCATTTTTCGTTTCTATCGGCTTGTCGAAATCGAAATTACATATTAATTATTATGTAATTGAATTGGAGAGTATTTATGTAGATATACATATACAGACATTTGAATAAATAGCTTTACTTCTTAGTGTCTTCAAACATTTAATCTAATAATTAACATACATATTCTATAACATAAATAAATGTTTCAATCTTTTAATAAGAAAAGAGCAACTGTTTGGGTTTTTCTTATATTATTACATGTAGGTGTGAATTCACGAGTAAAAATTGAAGAGATTTCACATTGACAGACAAAAGACAATTTACGTTATAAACTCGCTCCAAGTTATATTCAGACGATGTTTGTTTGGTACAAGTGGCGTATTGCATAACCTAGCCGAAGGTAGAAAATTGTTCACAATGGAGCAGAACAGTGCGAGGTCTTGTGATTTACCAATCATCAAAATATTTAAAAGCAATAAAAACTGAAATCGATAGAATTAAAAATTCCAAAGGAAGCGAAACACATTTCGTATGTTTACCATCTCCCCCATTCTTAACATTTACTTACATTATTGTTAATAATAAAAATAATGATCTAATTTCATTGACTCTATTGTGTTTGTCCCATAGAGCATGTTTCCCTCGGGATCTCTTTCTTTAAAACCTGCGAAAATGATTGAAAACACAATCTCTGATTGCACGCTATCAAATTATTCATTCGCGAGCAACGTGTACCTTAGAATAAAGCCGAGCTTGGAAGCGACCAGCGCAGAAATCTACACAGTGCACAATTCGACGACGTTGCACGTAAAGAAAGGTGAAAGCATAGACAAGAAGTACATATTCACGCGAATTTTCGATTCGAGCTACTCGCAGGAGGACATTTTTTACCACAGCGTGCGGCAGCAGGTGATTAATTTTCTTCTCGGCGAAAGCTCGACGATCTTAACTTATGGGGCGTCGAATTCCGGTAAAACGTATACGTTATATGGGACGCCAAAATCACCTGGTATCATTCCACGTGCCATCGAGTTGCTATTTTCCGCAGTGAATTGCACCCTCGCACCGTGGTACAAAGTCATCGACGGTAATCGAATTGTCACCTTAAACGAGGACGAACGAGCATACGAGATACAGTGTAAGAAAGATATAATAAATCCAGAAGTGATCGCTAAAGAGGAGTATACGCAAGCTCGGCTATCTCTCAACAACTCGAATCCGCAGCTTCCGGAAGAACGAGACGCTTGCGGTGATGAGTGTATGTCATCTGTTTGGATATCAGTGGCTGAAATTTACAATGATAACGTGTACGATCTTCTGGTGGTGAACGAAGAAGAGAAACAGCCGCTTAAGATGGCGTCTCGAAAGGATGGGTCGACTTACGTGAAGGATTTGAAATTTATCGCCATCACTACGGCTTTAGAGGCCTGTCAATTGTTGGTCTTCGTTCAGTCGAAGATGACGATTGCCTCAACGGTAGTTAACGACGCTAGCTCGCGATCTCATACGTTTTTTACGATAAAATTGTTGAAGTACGAGAGGCAGAACAGTCCGGAGGAGGTTCAGGTCAGTACATTAACGTTCTGCGACGTGGCTGGATCCAGGCGTTTCAAGAACAGGGCAGAAACGGGTGTCAGGTTGACGGAATGGCGAAATATAAACAATAGTTTGCTGGTGCTTGGAAGATGTTTGAAAACTGCTCGAACTAGTAATTCGATCGGCAACGTGCACGTCGCTGGACCGTTTCGCGAGTCGAAGTTAACCAGAATTCTTCAAAAAGTTTTGGCTGGTAGAGAGACAATTAGCTTTATCGTTACTATCGATACTGAGGCTGATGCATTCCCGGAAACGTTGAGCATTCTGAACTTCTCGGCGATAGCGAGAAAATTAAACGCAGAATCTAAAGTGCTCAAGAGAAATGCATTTTCGATTATGACTCCACGAAGTCTAAAATCATCCACGTTAGCTTCAATTGTACACACGCCGGAAAAATTGATCACAGTTGATTCTGAAGAATATGAAACGCTCAAGCGACGGATTAAGGAACTAACCGAAGAGCTGGAAGAAATGCAACTAATTTATTACGCAAAGAGGGACGCCATAGAGACCATTTCTAGAGGAACACAATCAGAAAAATCGTTTCTTGATTATGAACAACTGGAAGAAAGAAACGCTATTTTGTTGAAGAATTTGGAAACTCTGGAATGCGATAATTTGGATCGAGAATTGGAACTGAGACAAAAATTGGCGGACCAGTATTCTACCGCAGTTAAGGAACTACAATACTGCTCGAAGGAACGTACGCAGGTAGTGGAGGACCAAGGGCGAGAATTACTGAAGTGGTCAGTGGATCAGATAGAAGCGTTTTACAAGGAACGCATCGATAACATAATGTACAATAAGAAGCGAAAGAGGATTGACGGCGATGTCGGAATTCAATCAATTTGCCAAGAACTTGAAACTGAAAACGCAATGATGACGTCGAAACTAATCGTGTTAAGAGAAATGGTACGTAACTTAAGAGCCGAGAACCAGTCACTTAGCACGGAGAGAAACAAATGCAATTTCGAGTTAGTATTGATTAAAGAGAAGCTGACGAATTTTCACGATTTGGTTCGAATACACTTCCCTGAATTGTTCGTTAAAATACAAGACATCACGAGCGATGTCGGTTGGCTTGTTCACGAACTAAAAATAATGTTAGATCAAAAAACGAGGAGCATCGAAATTTTGGAAAGAGATTTGAACAGAGAGAGGAACGACTACATCAAAGTGGTGTCGAAGTCCTTGGAGATGGAGAACGAGCTGTGCAACACGAAACGTTTATTGCAAGAATCTTTAACTAAGGCATCGGATTTAGAAAACGAAATAATACAAAAGGCAAATTTGATTTGTAACCTGGAAATAGAATTGCAGTTGCAAAAAGAGGAGCAATCTAATGTTGAGCAGAGTGAAGTAGATTCCAACGTATCGAAATGTCTTCCAAAAGAGGGAGTTCACGGTTTAATTGGAAAATACAATTCAATTTGTAGTGATGATTTTTTCTGTAGCAGTGATAATACTGAATTAGTTACGCAAGCTCATATTGACATGAAAGCAGAACATTATCTTTATTCCGACAGCAAAAATTCGCCGAAGAAGGTATCCTTAAATAGTCTTGATACGTTCAGATCCAGTATTAGTAACGATGTGAAAGAAGACTCTGGTATCGATATCAGTAGCAGAAGTCAGAGGTCGACTAGCATTAACGACGGTGCAATTATGGATGAGATGAAGGAAAAATGGACACAAACTTTTTCATTACTAGAGAATAATAATGATACATGCAAGAATGCAACAGAATTAGAGGCTTATTACAAGAACTTAAAGCAGTGTTCCATGCAAAAGGACAGATCATCCGACACAGAACAGTCTGATCCGGCGAACGACGTGAAATCCGTCATAACGGCTTTGAGAAAAGTCGCAGATGCTAATATGTCCGAACTTGCAGTATGCAAAGCCACACTGGCGTTCTCCGAACTCAGGATGGAAGAACTGGAGAAGGAGAATGAAAAATTGCGTAAAATGGTTGAGGTAGACTCGCAAAAATATAAGCAACGCATTAAAGAATTGTCCGAAGAGCTGTTAATTAAGGAAGAAAACGAAACCGGTAATCTGAAGCGGTTGGAGAATTGCTTAGAAAAGTGTGCTTCGCTGGAGGACCAATTGTCCGTGCTTCATCTTGTTCACAAGCAGATGGTGAGGTCGTTCCCGAAGTGCATAGCGGAACAGGTTTCCCAGATCGAAAAATTGGTGATGGAACTGTCGGGGAAAAGTTTAGGGGAGGAGATAGACGATGGAACGGGAGAGGCGCGAGGCGATCTGTTCAAGGTGCAACAGCTGCACGAAAAGGTTAACGAACTCGAAACTGTTCTTGAAAAGTGCTGCGAGGAGAAGAGCAATTACCGCGAACGATTGCAAAAACAGTTGGAGGTGCAGTCGATGCTAGAAACAAAATTGAAATGGCTGTCGACGGAAATTCGTAGCAAGGACGACGAATTTAACACGCTGAAGACGAAAGTCAGCGGTGTGGTGATAGCGCAGAGTTCGAATGACGAGGAGATCAAGAACTTGGGCGAGAAAATCTTCCGATCGCATCAGACTGTTAACGTTATGAAGGAAAAACTAGCGTACTTTGAGGAAATGCGAAAGTGTTTTGAAGAAATGTTGACAAGAGACATCCAAAAGAGTAATTCAGTTGAAAAGGAAATTAAGGGTGAAGGAGAATTCAGTAGATTAAAAATCGAATTGATTGAAAATAAACGTGAAATGGATTCAGTAAAGAAACATCGGAACGATATGATAAAAAAGTACGAACGCGTGGTTCAGCAATTGCGAATTGAAGTTGAGAGAAGGAAGGAACGAATGATAAAGTTACAGAAACTGCTATTAGCCAGTTTCATATCGAGATACAAGAAATTATCTAACAAAAAATGTGACAAATCTATGATTCCTCGTTTAATAAGATCCAAAGAGAGGACATGGACTTTTCCCCGTGTTGACAGCAATGAATCCAAACGACAATTGTCATCACACAGTGCTGTGTGTTCTATTATTGATCCACGTTGCGGACGTTCCTTCAATCCTCAATCGTTAACCAAGAACTCAGAAATCGATGCAAACAGTATACGCAAATCAGAAGAATCTTGTCCAGTAAGTTTATTGCTTGGAACTTCTCTATCGAAGATACTTACGTATATTAAAAATACAGTGACACGAAAAATTTTATGTTAGGAGATTCTTGATTATTCGAGTAATTAATAGTGGAGCAATGTTTTGCTTACTTCAACATTTTAGAATCTTCATAAATATTTAAGTACAGATGATTTTGTAAGTCACTTTGTTTGGATATCGGATTAATTTAATATTCTTTAAAAGCTAAGTATAATAACTGTTCTACCTTGTCTTATACTCTACAGTTTTAAACGCTTCAGACAGAAAACAGTTCGGGGTTGAACGACTATTCGAACGTAGACGCATGTCAGGTCCAGACCGACGCCTCCGACTGTTCTGAAGTGCGCTGCGGCTGTGGTATTGGCTTTAAAAATGCTCGAAGGCAAGAAAGAATGTCAGGCTGGATGAAAGTTCGAAGAAGTAGCGCGAGAACGGATCTTCACCATCAACTCGACGGTAACTATGGCGTTAGTCTTTCGAACAGTACTTTCAAAGCTGAGATAGACAAGTATCGTCCTGAACACGAAGAAAATTCTAACTGTTCTTCAAGTAATTAATCCGCCTGTAAATATTTAAGTGATATCCATCGTTAAGGAAGACGTACAGATTTCATCAACATTTGCAGTTTGCACAATCGTTTAATATTTAATTTTATTCTAGTTAACGTGTTCTTTTTACATATATACCACGTGTTACAGGTTTAATAAAGATAAAAAATAGTACGCGTCTCTGAAACGGTTCCCTTTCGTAAGTGGTTCGCGACACGAATTAAGGTGGAATGAAAGGAGCGTCAAACGGTAAGCGAGTTATCGACTCGTAGTATTATCGGTGTATCGGTCGTTCCCCTGAGACGAGATCTTGTGTAATGGCAAAACGTGGTTCCGACGTTCGTTACAATAAGCTCGTCGCCCCAGAAGAGCAGGAGGAAACCTGTTTAGTCGGCTCGTACGAGGGCGGACCCTGGTTCGGATTTTATTGGCAATATGCTATAATTTCCGACATTAGATGCCGCTGACGCTTTCCGGCTCTCATTATACTCCGGCTGCGTCCCTACATGTGATCTTTTCGCGAAAACCGTTGCTCGCCCCAAGCGTGGCAGTCTGCGGATTCTGATATATGAAATTATGACGAGGGACATCGAAATGGAACCACGAGTTCCTTTTCCGTACGACTGCTCAGCCTCCAGTGATATTACCAATACGCCTTGTAACGCTAAAGATTAGGATAAATGAAACGCAGAAATAAATTACGATAATATTCAACCGTCCGAGGGAAATTAGCGATCTGATTTTTATAGCTATTTGATCCTTTTGAAGGGATCCATTTGCTATGAAGGAAATCAGTTTTATGCTATCACGATAAAAAATTTGAAAAGATAGATAAAAGGTGTTGCTGATATTTAATTGTTCGTCTAATTTACAAATATTTTTTACGATTATAATTCGGTATTAGAGTCTTTATACATATAGGCGCAATTAGCTGGAACTAAAAACAGTTATTCGAGTGTGAATTCGAAATTTTCGCGACATTGGATAACAGTCATTTTCTGGTTGGTCGTAGTACCCCGCTGATTTTCCCGGTAAATGTACTGCGAACTTTCCTCTTCCAATTGGCAATAAGGTTTGATCGTCACGGGAAATATCATCCAATTTCCTTTCTCCGACGACCGGGCTACATTACCACTGTCCGTCTACCCCTTAACTATACTATCAGCTACCCCGTCACGCCTTCATTTTCGAGTCTGTTTCTCGTTATAAGGAGACCAAGGGATTACACTTTGTATTCGACGAAATTTTAACAATGCAACTTATTTTATAACTTCCCTTTTGCATTGTATAAATAATAATTGTCTACAAACATGATTAACTTAAATCGAGAAAAAACAATTTCAATTGTTTTAATTAAGATATGTTTACATTATTTAATTGGTTCCCGAAATATTGAAACATTTATTTTCCTTATGTTGTACAATGAGTAAAAGCAATTTAGCAAGTAGAAATTTGTCTGATTCTATTTTATTACCATTATAAATAAAATTGATAAAAATTATACTACTNAACAATAAAAATTTTAAATGAACTGAAATAGTAAACGCGCACGATGTCAGACCGTATGCGTTCGACCGTCAGGGTAGCAATCGAGACTTTATAATTGGGAATAAGGGGAGAAAGCTATTCGAGACAAAGTTTCCTCAAGACATTAGTTTATAATTCGGCAATCCCGGATCAGTATTTGTCACGATTAGCTGATTCTTCCTCTCTCCTTCCCTCCTCGTTTGAAATATTTGGCTCCCCGGCCAAGAATTTCATCCCTTTCTTCACCCCTTCTTCCCAAAGAAGACCCACGCGAGTATTCATTAATTTCACCCGCCGATCCTACCGAACTATTGTCGTAGTTACGCACAATTTCAACGCGACAATGCCCCTAGCTTCCCGCAGGATTGACACGGACCAAGGGGATGAAACTGACGTATAAGGAGTTTAAACGATTCTCCAGAAAACGGAGAGGGTAAGACATTTCCAAAGTTCGAAGCGCGCCACAGACACAGATTATACGTCTCGTGTCATTTGTCTCTTGTATTAAATCAATGATATTTCATGTCACATCTCTTGTCGAGGATTTCGTTCCACTTACGAGAAAAGGCTTAAATAATCTTTTCCTGAATTCATGCTGAATTCTATATTTAAATTCAACATTTTACTACTTTTCGTCGATATAGTGGCTGCGTTCAACTTGGAGACAATTTTCTTTCAAACTTTATCCAGTATGTTCGCGAATTTCATTCGACACTGCCCTGTAACATGAAAGTCTCGCACTCGCAGTTAAAGAAAGAAAAGTACGTGCGAAGGATGAAAAAAGGGAAAGGGTTGATCAAAAAGAGAAGGGGCGGTGGCGTCGGTAAGCGAAAGAACGAGAGAGAGAGCAGCTAGTGGCGAACAATAAGCAATAATAGGTAATGCAATTCAAACGGTGAGGCTGGCAATACTCCGAAGCCAACGGCGTGGTTACAATGCCGGGAAATGCAAGGCAGGCATTTCCTGCGAAACGCGGGCGAGAGGAGAAACGTGGAGACAATCGTACAATACAGGACGTTCAGGTAGTCTATTGTATATTTGCTTTTACGCAATTCTACTCGTGCGCGGCTGCTCGCGCGATATTACGCAATCACGATTTATCCGCTGTGTGCGGTAGTCCTTGTTGATGAGTCCCGCTGTATTTAATCCGCTCGATTCGCCGTATCATTCTCGCCGATGAGAACGTTGGAAACTTGTAGCGCGAAAAACCCGTCGATGCTGACGTTTTCCACCAAACAGAAAGCGGAGAAATCGCCAGACGGAACAAATGAAATGCGAGAACGATCTGCGACGGAGTACGTACACGAATCTTCGTTTAAAAATGAACTACAAAGAACTTCTCGCATTGTCATTTTTAATTTTCGCCATACGGAATGATTTTTTCTATATTTAACGGGTTCAATAATAATTTGTCTATGTTCACGATTAAAATGCAAATACATGTAAAAAATAGTTAGCGAACATTTTTTGCCTCGTCTTTCTTCCCACAATACGAGAGAAGAAAATTTGCTTGGTAAGAAACGGTCGCACTTGGCTTCGCTAGGTTACGATTTATGTCTAAATTTATTCACCAAAAACAGATGCATCAGATTCGGGTCTACTGGCCTGAAGCGACCACCGCGCGGCGCGACGCGTTCCCTCGACGGAACTTACCACAATTTTATTCGCTTTTACATATGGCCGGGACGGCGATAAGAAAATGCCCATGATATTTCACGTTTTTATACGCGGCTGCTTTTGCCTTGAGGTGTTGGCCAGCCTTGCGCACCCCTCGCCACAGGAACAGTTACGTGGTCTGGCTAGCGCCTGATATGCGAAATAAGTAGCCCCAGGCCGTTAGAAGCCCGTAGTCTCGTTAACTCGATACCGTAATCCCCGAAACTCGTCCACGAAGATGGCCTCTCCTCCTACGTGATACCCTTCGATTCGACCATTTCTTCCCGGAAAGTTGTTCCTTGGAGAGATACAGCCCGTTTATCGAACGACCAGTTGGTATTCGCCGCATCAATTTCCACAGGGTTTGCTACTCGTGTCTGGAATGCTTTTGTCATTCTCGATTGTGACATTTACGAATTGTGTGTTTCGTTCTGATTTATGTAATGTTTCCGATTTCAGCGTTCGGTATCAGTAAATGCTACTATTAATGTAAAGGTTGCACTTTCTTCATTCCATTTTAGTACGATAAAACGAATCGTAAAATGTTAGAGTTCACATTTGTAAAACGTTAGAATTCCAAGAAGAAGTTCAGTAATTATCACAGATTTATCTCACATGTAGCCGGAATCGGCATGTATAAAAGGTTACAAGTCTAAGCAAAAGTCGCGCGCTCAATTCATACACGTGCGCGTGTAACAAGACGGCAGTGAAGCAGGAGGTTCGAGTGGCTATTGAGATGCTCGATTCCCGAGCTACCCTGACAGAAGAGCAGTACTACCTACCAGATATTGGAGGCAATGAGGCGGGCTACTTTTAACAAGACGACTTCTACCTACCCGTAGCTCGCTCGCCACTTCACCGATCCCTTCGTTCGATACCAAACGATGCGCTCGTTGTTATGGAATCCCATAAAATTACGAGCACCGCGACGAACCCATTGATCTTAACCCCCTAACGAGCCGCGGCTCGTGGGATCTCCGTGCCACTCCGAGAGCATTCGCGAATCGTCTTTTTTGCGGATGAATCTTTTTTCAAATCGAGCGCTCGCTGTTCCCTGTCAACCAAACGCGTGCATCGCACTACTTTTTATCGAGTTGTACGTAAATTCAATACCGAGTGTATTAGGGAGCCATTTGACATAACTACCACCTGACGTCATAAATTGAAACGAGCACTATGGCTTCAGTTCAACAAGAAGCAGCAATCTGTTGTATAAATAGAAACGTCGAATTTTTAAAATCATATGAAGCTTCTCAGATAAAAAATCCTGTTTTAACAGTAAGCCTTCAAGCTTTACCTATACAATCGATGGTCCATGTGTAAACCTGGTACAGGGCGGGCAAATTAATCGAGATTGAAAAAAGAAAATTCACACGACGATTTGTCGAAATTTATCGGGTGTGCCACGCAATTAGGCAAATAAGCAGTCTAACTCGAAATAGAAGTGGTATGGGACGGACGGAAGGGTGTAACGACAAACAATCTTCCTCTCTCTCTTTCCCCGTTCTGTTCCGCTTTCGTTCGCTCGTCGAGAGCAGCGACATTTCATTTCATTTGTTCATCCCCCGTTCCCCGACTTCCCCCGCCCCCACTTCCGCATCGAACAGCCCTCACCGCTTCAATTCGAAACACCCTCTAATTTGCTTCTACGAATGTGTCTCGCTTTTGATCCCGATC